CAATGCGATATGCTTGAGCATCCATATCTATTGCTAACGCTACCATCGTCGCCTCCTACACACACTCATACGCTCATCAACCACTCTTACACAACAACAACCTCCTCCACAATTCCACCGTGACCGCTATCAATAAACACATAACACAACTCACCACCACACCCCACACAACTCATCATCATGCGACTTACACACCACACCTCCATTCCTTATAAAGATTGTCAGCCTCTATACTATGATCCGCTATTCAATACGCAGATACGACTCTAGATACAAAATTTATTTATCTACTATATAAGCGTCATTCATTTAGTAAGGACCGTATTAATATCTCTAATCACTCCCGTGTGTCCATCGAGACCGAATAATAATCCCCTCATACTATGTATATCTTGTGTACTGAAGTTTACCAGCTAGGAACTTTTAGTATACCCTAGCACACTATAATACCACTTTACATCCACACACCACATCATCTAACATAACAATACTCACTACCGACTAGTGCTAACGTCTCCTACTTCTCCATCATCAACCGCTCTCTCGTCGCGCTTCCACCGTTAGGTGCCTTCCCCATACATATATCACCTTTATCTTATCTCAACGACGCTTCTTTAAAACAGCATCTGGACTCCCGAGTCATAACTGCAACCTCGCACCACTGTATACACTAACCCCACCCCCTACAGCCCCCTCCTAGAGCATTTCTTTTCTACCTATACTCCTTACCCAATCTTGATGACAGTCCGCGGTGTGCCACAACCACGACACTCAACACACCACCCAATTACCGCGTTATCTGCCTCTCCTCACATACTACACCTATACTATTTAAACCCACAGCTAGTCCCATGCATTAAAGATCGATTACTTAACAGTCCTAACTTATACGACTCACTTACCTCCTCATTCATGTTAATACCATAACATTGCTGATCCCCACAACACCCTACCATCCTTGATATCTCTGTACAGTATGCTCCACTTATCTACTCGCCAAGCTTGCTCCTTCCGCATGCCGTTAGCATCTCACATAATGTTCTATACCTGCAGTTTATGGGTGGAAATCCGCATACTGACGTTTATAGTATCTCCACTGCACCTATACACTTGACTCAGCCCTATCACTACTATATATACCTAGTTAGATTCTAAGTCCAGGTACCCTTTGTCATACATGAGACTCCCCTCTCGCCTGCCCGATACCCAATTCCCCGCGCCTCGAGGTGCATAACCATCTAACCCTTATACTGCTGCGTCGTGCGTGCGAGTACGCAGATCTACTTCGTAGTGCTAGCGTAGTTAGTTTGTATGCCCTATGTAATTGTATAATATTGTTAATATCACTCCTACTACTTAGCTCATATGACATAGCTTTGGTTATGTTGTACTATTGTACTCGGTGACCATATCTAAGTCTCGAGTCACTTCAGCGAGTACATACGCGTAGGCCCTCGGGTCGTAGCACGTAATGCGACGATATACTATCCGTCCTATATGGTAACATACTGCTCAGTAAAACACAAACTACAAGTATCGATACACACGCTTCTGTACGCATCCCACACCACCAAATATTTTCTCAAATCAGCCATTATGACTGTGTGCTACCTACCGAGTCCTAGAAGTCTAGTATGTGCAGCTCCAACAGTTGACGTTAGTAATACCTCCAATGTCATTAATCTTACCGTTCTGCTGTACACCGTCCTTCACCACGTCCACTGCCTCATACTCTGCAACCTTTTTATATACTCACGATTTTGCACCCTAGATCGCCCATCGCAAATAGCTCTATCGCTTCATCGGCAGAATTAAAAACTACTCCAGCCTGAATCTTTCCTATGTACTCGTCGTTAGCTTCCAGCCTGAATTATGAACCTACTCTCTTAAAAGTCTTACTACTCCCACAAATCAGCTATCTCAACTAACAATTATCTCGCACTGAACTGCTTCTAGTATATTACACTCCATATCTCGTCCGTAGCCATACGAGCTACCCAATTATGCTCCATAGGCTATCTGATTTTTACTTACTAGTTATATGCGACACTCATGATGCTACAATGATATTTTTAATGAGTCTCTCTAGTTATTAATCATCAGGTGGAAATAGCTACCCTTTGACAGACGTATTGGTGTCGCATCTCAATACGGTATAGCTATAGAGGCGTATCACCTTATAAAGAACGGCTTTACTTTCTCAGAGTTCGAGCAGATCATTGAACGGCAGGCTCACCTCGACGACTATTCAAGGTTCTAGAGGGACAGACAGACAGGACAGACAGGGAGAAGGAAGACAGAGAGAGAGAGAGAGAGAGAGAGAGAGAGAGAGAGAAGAGAGAGAGAGAGAGAGAGAGAGAGAGAGAGAGAGGAGAGAGAGAGCGAAGAGAAGAGAGAGAAGAGAGAGAGAGAAAGAAGAAAGAGAGAGAGAGAGGAGAGAGAGAGAGTGTTAAGGGGGGGGGGGACCGAAGCGTTCGCGCCTCATCCGGGAAGCGCTGGCGTTCTGAGGAAGGTCCCATGTCTGGCTCGTCGCGTGTCTCGCTGACGACAGATTTTTAGTTAGGATTGGATGCGATCACGCCCACAGCGTAAAAAAACGTATAAACACGCACACACATACGCATATGTGTTATGCATATATATATATATATATCATATAATATTATATATATAATTATTATATGTTCATATATACACATTCATTCATTCATGTATGTATATAGTATACATACACCATAAAATACATACACACACAGCACACGCACACAACACACACGCACTCACACACCACACAACACCCACACACACACACACACGCACGACACACACAACCCACACACACACACAAAATATATATATATATATATATATATATATATATATGATATAAGTATATATAATCTATAATATAACACAAACTCTAACTCTCTTTCTCTCTCTCTCACGTGTGTATACATACATACATACAATAATAAACAAGCATGCGCATACAATAATATAATGCCAAACTACATACACAGCACACTATTGTAAATGTTACCACTATTATATATATATATATATATATATATATATATATTATAAATGTATAAACACAAACTCTAACTCTCCTTTCTCTCTCTGTGTGTGTATACATACATACAACATCAAACAAGCATAGCCATGTGCATACATGCAACATACAAACCACACACATATGATATATATATAATATATAAATATATAAAATATAATATATGTATATATATATATATATATATATATATATATATATATATATATATATATATGTGTGTGTTGTGGTGGTGTTGTTGTGTGTGTGGTGTGGTGTGTGTGTGTTGTGTGTGTGTGTTGTGTGTGTGTGTGTGTGTGTGTGTGTGTGTATGTTGTGTTGTGTGTTGTGTGTGTGTATGTGTGTGTGTGTGTGTGTGTGTTGTGGTGTGTGTGTGTGCTCTGTGTACAATGCATCATATAAGTATGCCGACATCATAGCGACTGATACACCAAAAAGCCAAACAAGGGGTATTTCTAAGAACAGAAGCCCTCCGCAGAAGAAGATAAGAAATTAAACTATTGCTCAAACGTGTTCCTTGCTTCGCCCCCAGAATACAGTAAACCTTTAACAGAGGAATATTTCAGGAAACCAAAGACAATGTGTGGTTTCGTGTGACATCAGGCAGAGTCCCGTGGCTTCCTTTGTATATGTTGGTGGAATATGAGTCTCCAAGCGGTTTTTTTATTATCATTATTATTAATTTATATATCATTCTCTCTGCGAAATGTACCAGCCATACTTTTATGTATTTATGTGTGTTCGTCTGGCTGTCTCTGTATGTATTTTGTCTGTCTGTTTGGCTGTCTATCTGTCTGTCTCTTCGTCTGCCCTTTGTCTTTCTGTCTGTCTATCTACTTTTCTATTTATATATTTATCTTTGTTGTGTGTGTGTGTGTGTGTGTGTGTGTGTGTGTGTGTGTGTGTGTGTGTGTGTGTGTGTGTGTGTGTGCACGTAAGTATACGTTGCACTATGTACAGTGTACAGCTTACCGCTTATAAACATAATCAAACATCATGAATATGACCGATCTAGATAAAATCACAGATGCTTAAAGACGTGAATAGTGTAAGTGTCTTTAAAATGGTTCAAGTGACACCCTCATGGAAAAATTTTCCGGCATTATAAAGGCCACGCTCGAAGCTTAAACGATAATGCCCAAATGCCACTGGGATATTTACTACAAACCTATTCTGCCCTGCCTAACACATCAATCCATCTCTTTAGTGAATCTCCATTTCTCAAACACCTACTCTCAGTCGACCGGAGAAAAACTCGACAAATCAAGTCTCTATTTTGATACAGAAGAGGTAGAAATCTGGTGTACAAAATGGCAACATAGGGTAGACTCTACCAGCATCCCGCCTTTTTGAGACTCAGTGTAGACCAAGAACTCTACCTTTTATCATGTCTTGTGTTAGTGCAGCCCGTGTACCTGCTCAGACCAGTGAACCGCCTTTTATCATCGTGTTAGTGCAGAACAATACCCTTTACTCGCCGGAAAACTTCGAAATTCAGGTAAAGTTGAAGTGTAATGTAATATTTTTTGATATTTGATCGCCTGTGGTTGGTCGTTTTTTGTTTTTTTTTACAAGATCAGTGTAGCAGTTTTGAGGGAGTTTTTCTCTGTTTTAAGGTTATTCGGAGATCTTTATCTTAAGTGGGTTGTTTAGAGTCGTTTGGGTTTTGCTTAATTGTTGTTAGTTTGTTGGAAGTAAAAATACTTTCCATATTCTGATTTCCTTATGCAAAATGGGTTCAGTGTAAAGTCCTTTGTTAAATGTATCTATGTATTAGTCGAATGATTATGGTCAAATCTATTATATTTGATTCGTTTCTTAAACCTCTCCTTAGCCTGCAAATAAGAAATATCATGAAATAACAGAATAAATCGGAGAAAAGTTCATATTTCAAGATGAACCCAATAAATTAGATTAAGATTTGGCGGGAAGAAAAGGGGGAGGGGAGGTTATCGCTGTTATTTGATGGAGTATTAATTTCGCTAAAAAGGTTTATCGATATCTCTGCAAAGTAAGTTTGTAATGCCTTTTATCACATTGTACACTGTAATGGAAAGTACAGTTCAGCTGTCATATTACAAAATATATATTCCAAACAAATAAAAGTTCATGAGATTATACATTTTGGCGGCACTTTAAGAGAACGAATTTATCTTGCTATCAATCATTTCCAAAAAATTATCAACTTTTTCACAAAGTCTTTAAAGCTATTGGTAGTGAAAGAGTGAATATCATGAAAATTTTTAACCTCGTTTTAGTTCCAATTCGAAAAATACCTCATTTGTATGTGAAATTATCTAAATGTTTATGGCTTATCATTTAGTGATGAGAGAGGAGTGGAGGCTACAAAGAGAGAGAGGGAGAGGGAGAGGGAGAGGGAGAGAGGGAGAGGGAGAGGGAGAGGAGAGAGAGGAGAGGGAAGAGGAGAGGAGAGAGGGAGAGAGAGAGAGAGAGAGAGAGAGAGAGAGAGAGAGAGAGAGAGAGAGAGAGAGAGAGAGAGAGGGAGAGGGAAGAGGGAGAGGAGAGAGAGAGGAGAGAGAGAGAGAGAGAGAGGAGAGAGAGAGAGAGAGGGAGAGGGAGGGAGGGAGAGGGAGAGAGAGAGGAAGAGGAGAGAGAGAGAGAGAGAGAGAGAGAGAGAGAGAGAGAGAGAGAGAGAGAGAGAGAGAGTATGTGTGTTTTATGTTCTCTAGCAAAGATCCTTTGTTTCCACTTGAGTACATTTTACGATTCTCCCTCTACGATAAACAATCAAAACGAAACGAGAAAGAATAATGCAAGAAATCAATGGAGATTGAAAAAAAAAAATGCCACCAACACGCCAATAATATTTCCCGCTCATCTAAATGAAGTCACGTCTCGCTTAAACTAGGCACTAGGCCGTTTGTAGGAAAAATAGACATTGATTGCGATACATCTAAGGTCCCTCCATAGATCAATAAGCTTATGTTTAATGCAGCCAAAAGGGAAATGAAGAGGAAAGTAGAATGGAGAACGACAATTTTCCTCTCCCGCGCGACGTCGCCTAGGCCTACCGGGGTCGGAGGCGCTCGGGAGCCAGTTCTTCCCCAGCAGGAGGAGGAAGAGGAGGAGGAGGCGAGCGAGTCGGGGGTCAGGAGGGGCAGGAGGAGGAGGGATTATGTTCTCGCGGGTGTTCCTTTACAACCGGTCTCTCGCCATCTCGTGAGGCGTCGGGCAACTCGACACGATGGAGAGGTACGACGAGGACCTGAACGAGAACAGCTTCTTCCAGGTGCTGCGAGGGGAGTACGTGGAGGTGTTCGAGAGGGCGGTGGAGGCGGGCTGGATCCTGTGCGTGCCGCGGGCGGGGGCGTTGCCCAAGTATGCCCTGGCCCAGGACGACATCCTAGGGCACATTCTGGTTCCGAGCGACGAGCTTCCCGAGACCCACTTCCGGACCCTGACAGACCGCGGCGTCGTGGTCAAGGGCAACCTCCTCACCCTCGAGAATGAGGTTTCCAACCCCCACTCGGTGCACATTCTGTTCGACGAAGTGTTTTACGATGAGGATATGCGTAAGTACAAAGTCCTGTGCCTGGAGGACCCCCTGTATGCCTCCCACGCCCTAGCGTCGTCCTCCTCCTGTGACCTTGTTATGCTCTTCTCCCTGAGGGACTGCATTGATCTCCTGTGGACGGAAGGGGGGGGCGAGGAGGCCCTCAAGAGGCTAGATTCGCTCGTCCAGCAGTTCCTGGACAAAAACCCAAATTTGGAGGAGGAGACGCTGCAGAACCTGCGGGATCTGGTGAGCGAGCTCTTCTCAGAAGCCATACAGGTGACCCTATCAGATCACCGCCTGAAACACAAGACCAAGGAAGATCAATATCTCCTGGACTCCATCAAACTCTCCGTGGAGACGTACCTTTTGCACGGGATTTACAAAAAGCTGATGAAAGGCATCACAGCCTGCACCTCAGGGGACGATGCGAGGCTCAACAGAATAATCAGGAACCTTTCCGACTTGCAGGTGAGAGACTTGGATATTGATCCAAAGCTCTCAAGCAGCCTTACAAAATCTAAATTTGAAATAGTCAATATTGAGGGCTACAGCACACCCCTCGGAAAGCTTGGATGCCTCAAGAGAGCCATATCTATTGTAGTTTCGCAGGGTGGTGTTGTGTCGTCAGATGAGCTGCTTCCCATACTAATGTTTCTGGTAGTGAAGAGCAACCTGCCCAACTGGTTTGCTCATTTGTCCTTTCTGAAGTTGTTTCGGTTTTCGGCAGCTGGAGCGGACAGTGGCGAGCAAAGCTTCAATATATCTTCCTTAGAAGCTGCCATACAGCACATAAGCTCAGGTGCTTTATTTGGTAACACGTCTCCAGAGGCAGACTGTATGCTCCAGGTGGAGTCAAACAGTTTAGCCCAGAGCATGGAGGAGGCCCTGGGGTACAATGGGGGGAACGAGC